CGGGTGCCCACTGAGATAATCAAACTGCTTCCCTGAATGGGACTTTACAATTTGTGAGCCTGATTTATTTTTTTCAGTAAGAGAAAAGATGTAAGTCCCTTTGAGCAAAGTATGCCTGATATATATCACAATATTTATTTTTGGTAGAGTAATGGATCAGTCTTCGGGGAAAGCTAGAGAAAAAGCATTTCTTGAGCTCAGATGTAAATCAGTCACTCTGAAAATCGCAGGGGAATCTATATTCTTACCCCTCTGCTAACTACAGTGTGCAATAAACACTGACTTTTAAAAGTCACTGTTTCTAGACCTAACACTAACAACAGAGTTAAGGATGTGAGGCCCAAAAAGCAATTGTTCCTGGAATGTCTGCACCTAATTCCCCAAAGTGACAATACAACTCAAAATGAAAGAAGAGATCCACCCAACCTGCAGGTATTAAGTTGTACACCGGCGGCGGGGGGGGGGGGAGGCAAAGTTCTAAGCTTTACACGCAGTACTCATTTCCAAGGAGGAAGGATGAAGTGCGGCTGGGCTCAGGATGTAAGGGTCTCCCAAGGGACCAGTCCAGTTATTGGAGGCCAGTCTTCCTATCTACATTAAATGTGTCATAGAGCAGGACAAGAGTGAAACTGAAGGACAGGGGGAGAAAAAGATCTTTGATGAATTGGCAACTTAAACAGAGCTCTTCAAAGGAAAGCTATTTAAATCTAAGGTGTTCCTAATATTAATTATCCTGAACATCTCACAGGCTCAGATTCACATGCTACAAAGAACATAAAGCCTTTTAATTTTCCTACCTGTCCATGGCACTAGCGGTGATAAATCAGATACACAGAGAAACCACACATGACTAACGAACCAACCCATTAATGGCGAGCAAAGATCATTTGCCAAGATGACTTATTCAGACATAGTCACATATCATAACCAGCAATATCCTGGAGACTTAACGCAGCAGGCATAGAAAGCAAGAGCTGGGGCACTCCCTGCCAAGTCTCGGGCACTCCAGGGCGACTGGGGCATCCTCCAGATGCCTGCTATCCAGGCACGAGAAGATTTTATTCATGGCTGCCACCTCCCCACTCTCTTCAAGGTAGACTTGCACTTGGAAAAATACCGCAACTTTTAAAAGGCCTCTTGGGTCACAGAGCTGCCAAGTCCCCAGCCTTGCTCTGGCCCCTCCTCTGACACTCTTAGAATTCCAGGTACCCTCAGAAAGAAGACCCAGCCTCTGCCACCAGCAACCTTAGCCGTTAGTTTATAGATCTTTACTGTAGGCACTCATTCAAGTAACTGAGCTCCAACTAGGTGTCCAACCCTATCTTCTAGGTGCTTGGGAGATCCATAAACAAACAAGTAAATAGGTGGGAGGGAGGGAAAGAGAAGAGTTCCCTAAATGCCAGTCCCTTTATTCTACCGGGAAAAGAGGCCCAGTGATAGGAATTTTTCTTTGAGGCCAGAGTTGATGGTGTGGCAAGGACTTGAACCCAGGTTGGATCCTTAGCGGGACTGCCACATACAGTGGTGCACAGGGGATGAAGATGAAATTCAGCCTATGTTCTGCAACCCAGGAGCAGCCTCATTCCAGTACTATATTCTCACTGTCCCAGACTGTCCAATTCCCTTTAACAAAAGTCCCCCTTCACTGGAAGGGAGAACTCAGGTTCCCCAGATCGGCAACCAACCATCATTAGCAGGACCCAGGAGAGTTTGAGTCCTTTCACGGGATGTAACCCTGACAAGTTATACACTCCCAGCTCTTGTCATGAGTAAGAAAAGTCTGTTGAACTTGAATCTGTTAAGAAATCCACCAGTGGTGAAGGTCCCCTATAATTAATAATCATGACGATAATTTCCTATATTATCATCAGATCTGAAAGGGAAGGCTGCTAGCAAGCTATTTTACATTCTCGCCAACTCCTTTACTCCTCACGATCCCAAGCTGAGGATCTGTCATTGTTCAATCCCATCTCTAAAGTTCCATATGGACAATGGGAATAATTAACTTAACCAACTATATGAATATCTACTCTTGACTAAGTGCCAGGGATAAAACAGTGAATACCACCACCCTTGTCAACAACAACACAACATTGTCTCCGACTTCATGGAACTAACACGTTGACTACAGAGCTGGGAAAAGCCCAATTGCTAAGGAGTCCCTGACCAGACTGGCAGCCTGCTTGGGGCCAGGTCTGGAAGCAAGAGTGTATGTGACCAGCCTACTCTCCCCTCCCTTACTCCATTTTACAGAAGGAAAAATAAGGTCCAGGAATGAGAGCAGGTGGCTTGCCCAAAGTCAGACAGCTGATAATTGAGCTGGGACCTGAACCCACAGTCTCCAGCTTTCCCCCTTCCACCACATTGCCTCCTCTAAGGTTCCAAGGCTGCAAAGTGAAAATAGACAGATTGTTTCCTGATGCGTGTACACCCAGAACATGCAGCTTCAACCCATCTTATCAGCACAGACCTCATGCCTATGTTCATCTCTCAAACCAGAATGTTTATAAATATACTTCATTGATCTAGAGCCTGGGTGTCCAGTCTTCATTCACTCTCATTTATCACCCTCTCTGGGTCTCTCTTGCCGTTTACTTTCACTTTAAAAACCTCATCTTATAAGAACAGAGCCCTTTTTATCTGATGCTAGCGCCCTCCTCTGCTCCTGGGGTCTAATCAATCCAAGTCTGGAAATAAACAAGCCAGAGAAGGAAGCAACAGTCCCTTTTATGAAAACAGGTACCTTTCTAAAATGATCTACCCCTGAGCAGGGCACAGATAGAAATTTAAATGAGAAGGAAATAAAGACATCCTCCAGCCATAGTCCTATGCATTCCTTATCAGGCAGGACACCAGGGAAGGTAACTCTGTGTTGACAGCTAAACCAAAAACTCTGCCTCCCATTTTTCAGGTTGTTTGGAAAGGGGGTCCAAACTCAAGAAGCCTGAAGAGACAATAGGCTTCAAAATATAATAGTGTATATAGTTCAGCCTCCTCCATTCTGAGGAGTTTAAGGTCTCCAAGATAGTAAGAGAGGGCTCACTGAACACCAACTGCAGGTATATCCGAACAAGCGTCCAGCTACTACCACAGGTGCTCAGAGATGCCAGACTGAATGATCCAGACATCTGGCAACCAACACAGACCTTCACCCACCATATTATTTTACACCCACCTGCAGAGCAGAGTCTCCACACCTCCTACCACCCCCTAGCTGCTGCAGCCTGCAGCCTCAGCCAGCAAGGGAGGCTGTCTATGTATAGAGGGGCAGAACCAAGTCCCCACTAGCCAGCCCGCTCTTTTTACCAGGGCTCCCAACTCCAGGCTTTCAGAAATAGGTCACAGATCCAGATGCAAATGCAGAAAGCACCTCTGCTGAAGAGGACAACAGTTAATTCTTAATTGTTTGGGGGATCCTTTTGAAGATCTGATAGCAGCTCTGGACACACCATGAGAAACTGCAAGCATGCAGTTTATATGTAATTTCACTGGGGGTGGTTGGCCTCCGGGGAGGTATAAAAAGGCAGAAAGGGCTAACGTGCTCTGGGCCAGCTTTGAGCAAAGGAGCTATGGGTGGTTCAGGTAAGTAGTCAAAAACACAGTTCTTAACCAAAAAGGGAGAAATGATGTCCCTTCCTTAGCTACTGCAAGTTCCAGCCTTCAATTAGCCTTTGAAATTTCAACAAGAATTTGGAAACTGAGAACGCACTCATGCACACACGCGCAAAACAAGGACTTATCTCTGTGACTTCCTATGTTGACGTCACAGAATGTCCTGTGGTTGCGAGTTAAGATAGAGTCTCCCAACAGGGCTTATTGCAGAAGGGCTGGGGACCAGCGGAGGTAAGAAGTAGGGCAAAGGTGGACACTGGGATGGAGGACAGTCCAGACAAGGAGAGAGGGATAGCTAAGCCCTCTACTGGCTCTGAGTAGATCCGGCAGGGCAGGTCCTGACCATTGCTGTTGGCTCGCCTTGGAAGTCAGACCTGCTGACTCCTTTGCAGCAAACCAAGAAGTCCAGGCAGAAACAGCCCTTTCCTTCTGGGTCCACAGGGAGTGGAGGATGCATCCTCTCATTTCTAGGGAGGAGACCCTGGCCCACAGCTTGCCCAGAGCCCCCTCGTGGCCCAGGGGTGTCACTGCAGCCCCCTCTGCATTGCTGGGCAAAAACCTCAGGGAGGCAGCTCTAACAGTGGTAGAGCAGAATATTTGGTTACCAGAGGCAGCTTGGCAAAAGTCTTCAAGCCATGGTGAGGCTGTGTTTGTTTTTGGTTTCTTAAACTAGGACCAAGATTGACACTCAAAGTGATCCTTCTAAACCCCTCCCTGGTACAGTCCCTGCAGGGAGCAAGTCCAAGACCTGCTTCATTAAGCCAATAACCTCGGAGCTTCTGTAACATTACCACTGCCCTGTTGATCACTCCTTCCCGCATCACACGCGATTATGCACAATTGTTTCAAAGCTCAATAGAAATAGCAAGAATACACAACACCCTCTGGTTTGTAGGTTGCTGGCTAGATTACAGAATACTTGCAGAACACTAAATACCACCCCCCACCCCCATATCCTGGATTTCCAGGTAGCAGATCCTACAGGGGTTTGGGGGAAGTCAGGACTCAAGAACACACGGTGAGAAAGAGTGTGGCCCTTGGCCCCATGCAAGCAGAGAGGGTGTCCATTAATGAACCTAACTAGCAACTCCACAAAGGGACAAAGTGCAACCCACCTGGGTTGGGGACTTGACTGAAAAGACCAGAGTCGGGGTGGGGGAGAGTCGATCCAGTGGGTTCAGCTCCCATCTGTCAGAGGTGGGGACGATTAACTGAACCCAGCAGTGGGGAAAGTGCTCACTGAGGAGAAGGTGGAAAGTTTAAGAGGAGGGTGCAGTGTGCAGGGAGGACCTAGAGCAGTAGTCCAGGGACCATAAGTGACTGGGGCCAGGGGAAACAGACGGAAGCACAGAGAGTCTTTTCCTTTTCCGGGAGAGGAGAGTCCTTACCTCCTTGATTTTCTCCCGCTGGGCTCGAACTAGGCTCTGCGGCTCCTTACTCTCATCTGCCCTGGTCCCCAGGACCGGGTGGCGGAGGCGGCTCCGGAACGCGTTGAAGTCAAAGCTAAACGGGATGCCCCCCTCCTGGGGTCTGAGGGCCGTGCTGCCGCTGCTCCGGGCCACCGTGGCCATTTCCCGTGTCCCGGTGGGGTGGGTGCGCCGCAGCCACACTTTCCGGCGGCGGGTACTGGCTTGGCTGCTGGCGTCGCCCTCCCCGGGGGCTGGCACAGCGGGGGCCGGGTTGGGAGGCGACTCCTGCTCGCGGGCCAGGGGGTGGCCGGCGACTTCGGCCACTACCTCCAGGCCGGGCTGCTGGGTCCGGTGGGCCAGGAAGAGGCGCTTGAGCCGAGAGGAGTTGGGCAGCAGGAAGAGGGCCCCGAAGCACAGGGTGACGAGGCCCGAGAGGAAGAGAAGGAAGAGGAACTTCTGCGGCAGCCGCAGCCCCCACGGGGAGGCCGGGACGAAGACGGGCACTTTCCTCACGAGCATCGTGGCCTGGCCCGGAGCCGACCGGCCTCGCCCCCAGGCCCTCTCAGTGCAGGCACTGGCCAGCAGGGGCTCGGCGCGGGGAGGTCGTCGAGGGGCGCCGCCCGGGGTGGGGGTCCGTGAGAGTTTTGCCGCTTCGGGGGCTGCCCCTGAAGTTCAGGGAGTTTGGGGCGAGTGTCCCCGCGCTGAGGCGGGGGCGCAACGACCTCGGCGGGGCCCGGGCGCGCCGGGCGGCACGGCTCGGGGCCCGGGCCCGCAAGGGTCGGCCGCGCGCCACAGCCTTCTCTCCGGCCGCCGCGCAGCCCCTCCTCGCAGCGGCCGGAGCCCGCGGGACCCGCGCCTTCCCGCGCTGCGGCCGCCGCTGGGGCCGTCACATGCCGTCCGCGGCTTCCAGGCCGTCCGCGGGGAAGGGCGCCGGCAGGCCTCGTCCCCGCGCCGAGCCGCCCGCAGCCCCCTCGGCTCAAAGTTTCAGCCTCAGAAGCAGTTTCCAGAGGGGGCCGGCTCAGAGGGCGAGGCGGTGGCGGGGCCGGCGTGTCAGCGCCGCTGCGAGAACGCGCCGACCCGGCCGGGTCGCGACAGCGCCCGGCTCGGCTATCGGGACACGTCCACAACTTTGCTCCGCCGCGGAGCGGACGCCGGGCAGCGGCACCAGGCACTTCTGAGCCCGCTGGGCAGGGGGCTTCCTGGGCCCCCGGGAGCCGAGGGATGCCCGAGCCGCGGTCCGGAGCCGGGCGCCGTCCGCGACCAGCCGCGGCGGGGCGGCCGCAGCTGCGCCCGGGAGTGCGGACTCCCGCCCCGCCAACTCGGTAGGGCTCGGCAACCCGCTGGGATCACCTGTTCCCGTCCCCCGCCGGCTCCGCGGAGCGCGCAGCCCCGGCTGCACCTCTCCCGCTGCAGCTGGCGTCCTCGCAGCGGCCGCTCCAGACGGGCCGCTGCCGCCGCAGGCTGAGCCGCCGCCGCCGCCGCCGCCGCCGCCGCTGCCGCCGAGCCTGCGCTCCACACGCGCGCACACCCGCCCGGACGCCTCCGCCGCCGCCGCCGCAGCTCCGCTTTCACTGAGACAGCGCCCGCGGCCCCGCCTCCCTTCGGGCCACGCCCTCGGGCCACGCCCACTGCGCGCGCCCCGCGGTCCACCCCCGCCGCGGCGTCGCAGCCAGGCCAATGGCCTCGCATCGGTGGGTAGGGAGCGCGGGGCCTAAGCGCGGGTGGGGAGAGGCGACGGGACTCCAAGCCACGCCCCCTCCCTCAAGTGGCCAGCGCCGCGCACACTCCCCCCTCCCCCCGCGCCATCCAGCACCAACGGTCCAGCTGCGCGGAGTTGGCGAGGGCGGGGTGGAGAGCGGAGCGAGGTCATTGGCTGCCTCGGAGGGACCCCCGTTGGGCTGCAGTCGCCCATTGGTTAGTGGCCGGCGTTCGCTGGCCTGGGAGCGACAGCGAGGCCCCCTGGCCGCCCCCGCCCGCGCCGCTCGGGTTGTTGGCCTCCGGGTGGGGGCAGGAGACCCGGACAGTCTGAAGGGCTTTGGCCATTGTTCGGGAGCCGCTGTCACCCCTCCGTGCCAGTCCAGGGTTGGCAGGGAGCTGGGGGCCTGCCCAGGGGTCCCCAGAGCTTCTGCAGGAGCCGTGGTGGTGCTGCTGGGCCAGGCTCTAAGGAAAAGGTGGCTGGAGCCAAGCCGGAGGGCTGTGGCCGCGGCTGGACCAGGCTAAGGCAGTGTTTCCCCTGGACCCCCACCGACCACTGCTCTGCCACAGCCCCAAACCCGACTAGGGCCCCCGGGGTCAGGGAGGGAGAGATGCGAGGGGAGGGCAGGGAAGAGAGAACCCCGGTCGTGTGTACAGACCACACACATAATGTTGACATGCGTACCTTCATGCCTGCGTGTGTTTATGTGCACATGTGTGCTCCTATGCATAGATACCCATGCGCTCAGGGATTGCACGGGAGGGAGTACCTGCACACATACACTTAATTTAGGTATGGACGGACACCACTGATTATGCCGGAGCATACATAGACATCTATACATATCAGTACAAAAATTGACATGTGTGCACACATACCCACTGACGCACAATAGACAGGTCCAAAAACATGCACAGGGACACACTGCCAGGCGTATATTCCCGGACCCGTGTGTGTCTCCACCCCAAGGCCCTCCCTCACCCCTTCCTCCTTGGACTTAAGTCTCTCTGTGCCTTCCCTTCCTGTTAAACCTAACCCAGGGCAAAGCAACATTGTGCGGTGTGGGTCTTTCATGCAAAACACTTTATAGAGACAAATAACAGCAGAGGGAGAGACAAATTAAGAGGTGTAATAGGCAAGAGGGAAAATATCTGCTTTCAGCTGCTATTTAAAATGAAATGCAGCGTTGACGAGACAGAAAATACTGCAGGGAGGCCTTTATGGTTAGAAGAAACGGCCCAAGCGGGCTCTCACGTCATAAATCTTGCTTCTTCCCTGAGGCCTGCTAGGATGGGCCATCAGGTCTCAGACATCCTTCTCCCTCTGGCAGGCCACTGACGGCAGACCCTCCCCTGATATTTAAATACCCTTGGCATGTAAATTTCTTTCACTTGAAAGTAAAAGACTGCTCCGGGTAACAGGTGCAAATATGTTGGTGATTGGAGACAAATAGTCCCTCCCAACCCCACAAGTTGCACCTAGCTTAAATGTAAAATTCTAATTCAGATGTTTCAATCTCCCATGAGTTTGATTGGCAGGAGTCAGTTTCCTGGAACCAGCTGTGAACATCAGGGACAAACATGTGATCCCCTTAGATGCAGGAGCCCAGACACCCAGCCTGGCCTGTCCCCATCCCCAGTGCCCAAGGATCCCCTCCCTGGGTCCCACTCCAGGAAGACGGAGACTTGTCTTTGGAGAACCAGGAGCCCAGCATTCACTGGAGGCACCCCATTGTTCCACGTTGTGAGTGAATCACTGTTCAGTCGAGAAGGTAGGATCCAGGGGGAAGGGGAGGAAGGCAAGGCTGAGTCTTGGAAGGACATGTCTGTTTGAACTGGATGCTCAGTGGGATTGTGACACCTGGATCAGCCTCTCATATGCTGGTGAGCCAGGGTAGAAAGTGGGACGGCAGCAAAACTGGCACATCCCACAGACCCAGGCTACAAAAACCAGAGCCCAGAGAGGACAACTCCATTTCAGATTGATGTCATCTTGGTGGTTACACTGAGTTCGTGACCTTTTACACGCTTCCTAAAGAGCTCACTGAAACCCTGCAGGTGCCCAGCCCAACTTCCACAGACCTCACACATATCGTGGCTCTTTTATCACTGGGTTTTGCTATTCGTATGTTGTCCCACAGCAGACACTTCCTCATGACGGGGACCATGGCTTGTTCACCTCTCTAACTGCCCTAGGTCTTAATTACAATGCCTTGCATGTGGGCACTGTTGTTTGTTGAATAACCAATGAGTGAGTGGATGCCCATTTCACAGATGAGGAAATTGAAACTCAGGGAAAGGAATACTAACGAATTAACATTTTCTATGTGCCAAATACATATTGCTTTGTTTACTTTTCGGAACACTCTTATGTGGTGGATTTTATTTATAGCCTCATTTTATACATAAGAAGCCTAAGGCTAGAGAGGTATAGGATAAGTTAACAAGTATCTTTGTCAGTTCAATTTAGAAACTCAAATGGGGTGGGGAACAGAAATGAATAGCTATTTAAAAATCTATTCTGTCAACAAGCATTTATTGAACTTAGATGCTAGGTATTTCACTAGTCTCAGGTTGGACACAAAGACGAACAAAGCATGGTCCCTGCCATTATTGATTCATTCATTCAGTAAAGAACTATTTATTGAGGGGTGCCTGAGTGGCTCAACCACCCACTTAACCTGGATGGTTAAGTAGTCTGCCTTTGGCTCAGGTCATGATCCCAGATCCTGGGATGGAGCCCTACGTCGGGCTCCCTGCTCAATGGGAAGTTTGTTTCTCCCTCTGCCCCTCCCCCTGACTTGTGCTCTCTCTCTCACTCTCTCTCAAATAAATAAATAAAATATTTTTTTAAAAAATAGAACTATATAGTGAACACTTACAATAACCAAGTACAGAGGGGCTGGGGATAACAGCCCTAAATAAGGCAGATGTGAAGCCTATCTTCAGGAAGCTTCTTGTCTAAAAGGCAACAGGGACCAATTTAGTCCATCAGGAAGGACCACAGGGCACCGGTCTGCATGTTTCATATCTTATCAGGCCCTCATGATGGCTCTCTCTGAAGTAGGTCTTGAGATCCCACTTTAACAGATGGAGAAACTGAGGCTCAGGGGTGTGACACGACTTATCCAAAGTCCCACAGGGAATGATTTGCAAATATGACAGAAAACCAGATTCATCTACTCCCAGAATCTATGCTCCTTCTGTTAATAATATTAATAATAACTAAGATTAATGGGGCACTTGCTAACCACCAAGCCCTTCCAATAGCATGTTCTAGAAGTTCACTTATTGGATCCTTACAATCACCCCACGAGACAGGTACTATTATTACTGACATTTTACAGAAGAGGAAACCAAAACACAGATATTAAAGAATTTGCCCCATGTCCCACATCTGGGAAGTGGCAGAGGGAGGATATGAACCCAGTCAGTCAGGCCCCAGAGCCCTTTATGTCTTTCAAGCCTATTGCTCTCCATCTTATAATGACATGAAAGCAGGTACTGTAGGGGGTCAGAGCAGAGCACTGGCCTTAGGTAAAATTCTCACTTGGGAGGATTGTATGAGCTCATTACCATCATTCAACAAGTACCTATAAAGTGCCTGCTATGTTCCAGGCAATATACAAGGCTTCAGGGATATAATGGTGAGCAAAAATAGACACATTGTTCCCATTTGTGGAGCTTCCAGTCTCAAGGGGAAGGGGAGTTTCAACAAATAAGCAATCCCCAAATATGTACACAGGCTGAGATGACAGTGAGGAAAGAGAGAAATGCTGCTGTAGGAAGATAGCTTAAGGGGACAACATGTGCAAAGGCCCTGGAGTGGAGAGAACATGGTGCTTTTGAGAACAGAAAAGCCAGTAAGTGTGGACTAGAGTAGAGAGAGTGATGGGGGAAAGACAGGTAGCATCACTGAATGATTTAGGGCAGGAGCAGGAATGTGTGTATAGAGGTAGGTGGGTGGGTAGATTCAGATTAGCATTTTAAAAAGGCTACTCTAGCTGCTGTGTGGGCGACAGAATGGAAGGCAGGAGTGAACAAAGTGGGTGCCTTTCAGAGGATATTGCAATAGTCTATGGTGTCTTGGCCTGGGGAAGTACGAGTCACCAGGACTGCAGGATCCAAATCATATTTAGAATCCAAAATCGATAGGACTTGGTG